CGTCAGTTCTGGCTCTATCTCTATAAAATCAGTACAAGGACGTTAATGCTAAGTCTTTTGGCTATGTCTCTGGGCTAAGAAATAATTCCTTACATGCGATCAAAATGTTTTATACAACGATGTAAAACGGTAATGTTTTGTAATTGGTCAGCATTTAAATTTCCAACACAGTTTTTGAGATGTAATTTGTAATGATGTGACGTCATATGCATGTATGACGTAACTTGTATATAGCTTTATATTACATGTTAATGAGTTTCAGTATCAATATAATCACCAAGCAAACAAGTCTCGCTTTGAACTATAATTTATATCATAAAAATATTACATAATTCAAGAGGTAACTTATCATTGCATTTGATCCATTATATCCGTTGGTGTTATTCTGTGCGATTAGCGAGTATTATTGGAAAGAGCTGCTTTCATATACGTTGAAATCACCAAATAAACAGCTCATGCACACATTTCTCCGCTTCGTAGTAAGTTTACAGAGCAGATTTTATACTTTGGCACTGATCTTTGTCTTTGATGTGAACATTTGTTAAGATTATTTAAGAGTGATCCAGTTGAAAGTCCTTTACCAGGAACCCATCGACAATATTTCATCTTAGTGTTGTCTTTGCCGTTCTGTTGGTTTCGCGTTACTTTATTTTTCAGGCCAGTGACATAGCCCAAAGACTTCGCATTAATGTCCTTGTTATTTTAAAGAGATATCTGTAGAACTGAGGATTTTGGAAAGCGTTATCTGTACTTTCTCAAAGTTGTAGACAAGATATGTTGTTTACGTTCACCACGAATAATATTACATAACTCAAAATGATTCGAGCAACACCGGTCTTTTGTTAAAAGGTAGACTGGTTAATAGAAATTGGCCTTTTTGAGTGACATAATCGTTTGTCGTCATCGACCCGTGTCGTTGAACAATGAAAAAAGTTGTTGTGAAATTAGTGAAGTAAAATTGCAGTTTGTGAGCGCGTGTTCGAAAGTGTTAGTTCCCGTAAAAATATTTCAGTTCCAAGACATGGGAAATGAAAGTGAACGATATTGGGACGCAGCAAACGGCCTATTTACGAGGCAAAAGGCCATTGCGATAATTACCAAATGCTAGCCCGAAATTGACCAAACCTTCCAAAGATACCTGCCAAAGCCAGCCGAGTAAAGGCCTAGGTCTAGGCTGGACTGATTCCTGATAAGTATGGAAAACACTAATTAAACTAGAAAATACATGCATGCAGCAGAAACCCTCGCCTTGCTGACAAAACCATTGTATTTTCCGAACATGAAGTATCTAAAGTAGTTGTCATGGTAACACGATAATTTTTTTAAGAATATTCTTAGAAATGAAAAATCGCCTAAAAATATCACTTTTAATTACAAAATTATCAATTTCTCAATATATATATGTTAGGTATGTTATTATACATAATATAAGCTTCAATTTAAGGTAAAATTCAACCACACACGCTTCGCAAAACGTTTTAAATTAAAGTGTTCTTTATAAAACTTTAAAACTGCCTTTAATAATTAAATGGCTTTATCGATAAACTTTGTCTTTGAGTTTGCAATAAAATGATTTCAAAATCTCATATGCAAATAACTTTGCTTCCTTTTTTATTTATTTAAAAAATTCAATATAATAAAAAAGGGAATCAATATTAATGATACACTGTCACTGAAATTATATGCTGTCTTGTTTAGTTGTTTCATATACGCAAAGGGCCAAAGGCCGTCGGGTTTTAAAGCAATTATAAAATCAATATTTAAAACAAACTTACCTTCGTTAACGTCGGCTCCCTTCTTTTAGCCGACTCTTTCGCCCTTTCTTTTTGAGAAAGCTTTTGAAATTTACAAAATCTTGTAAAAATGCGAGCAAAAATGAAATATATTTGCAAGAAATTTATCAATCATCAAACATAGGCAGCCCAAAACGGCGTGTAGAATGCACCAATAATGCTTCCAAATGTCAATTTGCATTAAGCTCGCCCCATTCCTTTGTCATTTGTCGCGCGCCGCAAGCACTCAATTTGAAAAGCAGTGATGATATATATAGATTATACCTACGTATAATATCTATATACCTACCTATAGGTATAATCTATATATATATATATATATATATATAGAGGATATTTCACGGTGGCGCGGAAATATGACTTTTATTTTCGAGTGGTGAAAACAATATTTTACGAACGAGCGCAGCGAGTAAGTAAAATATTGTTTTCAACACGAGAAAATAAAAGTCATATTTCCAAAGCCACCGTGAAATGTTCTTTTTATTATATGGCCAAAATAAATTTCATCAACTAGATGTTTTGTAGCTCACCGTACGGCAACAATGTTATGTCTCTCCGCTCGTTTATAGAGGCTAAATAGTCGCTGAAGATCGCCAAATCGGACTTAATCTTCCTTTTTGTGTTTTCGTTTTCATTTTCTTCAGAAAACCTTGCCAAATCAGCGTCGGAAACATTAACAAAATGTCGAGAATTTGCCATATTGAATATTCAAAACAGAAACGGCAAAATGGCGGGAATTAGCGTGGGCCCCGCGCGAGACGTTCCCGCGTAAGATATGATTTCATATTTCACTACAGTGAAATACGGGAAATATCAGTGGCGTATTTTACGGTATTTTACTCATATCCATATAATAAATATATATATCAACACTGCTTTTCAAATTGAGTGCTTACGGCGCGCGACAAATGACAAAGGAATGGGGCGAGCTTAATGCAAATTGACATTTGGAAGCATTATTGGTGCATTCTACACGCCGTTTTGGGCTGCCTATGCATCAAATCAAGAAATGTTTTCTATTTCGCTGTCGTCATGCAGTCGTTATAATGCAAACTTTAAATTGGACCAATCAGTGTCCGCTATTCATGACAGTCCGCCATATTTTTGAGATCAGTGAGGATGACCACCCATCGTTGGTGACCCACGCGCATATCAAAGCATTATGCCTTGCCGATGTAAATAGAGTATATTATGCATGATTGTTTTTTTAGTTAATAATTTTAATATTTTTATGATAATTTATAGTAAGTGTGCACTGCCCTTTGAAAAACAGACTTCTGAAAGGCTACCGTGAATAAATAAGCTTAAATAATAATAATAATTGATGAACTTTAGACTTCGCTAATGCTTTCGTTTCCCCGGGTGTAAATAGCCGGGGGGAATTAGTACCCTCGCGCGGCGCTTCGCGCCGTCGGCTCGGGGATTAACGCTGTTTTGTTTTTTTAATACTTCTTGGCCTAGAAAGCCATTTAAAGTTATCCCGACGCCGTTCTGGGCGTAAGTCCGGGCGAGGGTACTAATTCCGCCCAGCTATTTACACCCAGGGAAAGGAAAGGAAAGGAAAGCATTAGCAAAGTCTAAAGTTCATCAATAATCGCGGGCGCGTGACTATGGTTCATGAGTGGATCTCACTGATCTCAAAAAATATGACTGTTTGCCAGGAGTGGGATAAGCAAAATTTCAATTTTCAAAAGCATATATTTGGAAAATCATGTTTCACACAATAAGCTTTGAAGCAATTTTTGTCTGAAGAAATGAGAAGAATTTTTTACTATGAGTAATCGTGAAAAATAGGGCAAGTTTGCTTTGAATGATTAATGTTTATGAATTTTGTTGCTTTAACTCTTTCCCTAAAACATGATCATGAACTGTTTTCCTTTCCAACGAAGCTGCAAGTTTCCTAAATTACCCTGTTTTATTTAAGAAAAAAATTTAAAATGTAAAGGAGAGCAAATTGATTTGATGACAGAACTGAAATTACGGAACAATTTGAACTTATTATGTTTCATTAAGTAAAAACAGTTTATCGGCAAGACGGCAAATGTAGTTTTAATAGTTGAATGAACATTTCAAAACATTTTACGAAGCGTTTCAAGTTAAATTTTACATTAAATCAAAGCTCACAAAAAGCAGAATAACATACCTACAGTATATATTTCGGAAATTCATTGTTGTATAGCTAAAAGTTCTAATCTTTCAACTATTTTGCCGTTTTGTACAAAAAAGATATAAAAATTTTAAAAATATCTCGAGCCTGCGTTCAGTGTTGGCCATTTCCGAATACTTCATGTTAATTCAATGTTTGGAAAATATAGGCGAGGGGTTGCTGCATGCATGTATTTCTAGATTATAAAGTTATGCCAATTTACATGCAAAATGATCGCTATCGGTAATTTCACTACCCTGCTTTATATGAACCATATATTATACCTCAAATACAACCTATATGCATTATTGATGCTTTCCAGAGATCGACTACGAACGACTATCAACGTGATGGGTGATACATTTGCCGCTGCAGTTGTTGCAAAATATTCTCAAAAAGATTTCGCAGAAGAAAGACCGCATGACAATTCTGATTCTCTGGAATTATTCGACAACTTGGCCAACGATGTTGTACCCGAATCTGAAGAGACCAACTTGTGACTATGGTCAAGGGGTGGGTTGACTACAATTTTGTAATAAATTCGCTATGCTACAGCTAATTCGAAAAAATGTATGGATGTAGTTTAGCTACTGTTAGCAAACTTGAACAAAAGAAATGTCATTTGTCAAGTATCTGTGTAGCATTTATTATAAGTATCTGTGAAGTACAGACGACCTGTATACGCAAGTCCATGTATTGTTAACAACACTGATAGATATATATATATATATATATATATATATATATATATATATATATATATATATATATATATATATATA